CAGACAGACAGACAGACAGACAATCAAGTTTGCAAACAAACAAACAAAAACACTAAAAATCTGACCTAGATACTTTTAATAACATCTTTGGAAATATCACTACAATGAAATACAGTTGATGAAATAGTTTGAAGCTCCAATACTCATAACCATAAAAATGAAGAATTCTTCAAATTTAACATTAAAAACTAACATTCATAATTATAATGCACTAAAAAGATTCATCAGCTTGTTAAGTGCATGATACGACGAACATGTTTCTTAACACAAGCAATTATGTAGTGGCCAAGACCTTCATCCATAATGACCTGCTTTAACAAAAATTCCCTTCTGAGTTAAGAAAGTTTCCAAATGTATATTACTTCAAATATTTAGAGCAACAAAATGAGCGTTGATCCTTCACATAGCTGAAATATATTTTGTGTAAAATTCAACACTTTTCTTTTGATCACCAAGGCACATTGTGCCGTGCTCTGTTTAGATGATCCCTTTGTAATAACTCTTAGGTTGTCAGTCTCTTAGACATCCTATTTGAAAAGGACCTTAAGCCATTCATTCCAAAGCTCCCCCAGAAAACTACTTGTGTGAATCAAAATTTCCCAGTCAAAAGAGAACTTAAATCTATGGATGGTGGAAAATTAATCTAAAGCAAACGCTAAATTTTCACTGCAGGGATTCGTATTATTAACTTAGAAGAATATAATTTTTTGCTGGTTTGGACCCTAATCTTTTAGCCATTTGACTCATACTGGTGGCTACACTTGCAAAGTGGTTACTTATTGGAATGTATTTTTATTTGTTAGCTTTCTGTATTTGTTGGGGCATATTGACCAGTGTATTCAAGTTTTTTCTTTTTTCTTTTTTTCCATTCTCTTTAGCCATTTTTGTTAATTTTCAATGGTAATTTAAACATTTTTACCCGGACAAGGGTATTACATTTTTTTCCCTAAAGCAATATCACTTTGTTTCTTATTTCTGGAAAAAAACTGTCTGAGGAGTGAGTTAGGTTTGAGTCACATTTATCTGAGAGCTCCGGAGAAATCAATATTTAGTTATAAATAACTGGTTTTGTTTGAGAAGGTAATAAATAACCAGCAGAACCATACATATTTTAAAAGCGAAAGCAATGCTCCACATTGTGTCTGATAACTTGATTTTTGCTGTGTGACACAGTCATCCAGGGTCATCTTATAGTCTTGCTCACCATGGGGAGATGATTACATTTAACTATAGATAATATATTCTCCACCAATCGATATCCATACACATAAAAGACTATAGATGAAATGATGAGTGATAGTTAAAGAATATTGCGTTATATCCTTTGGGGAAAAAGCTCAGTAAACAACTGAAACGTCAGTCCACTGTCATGTTATGTCATTATTCACGGCACTATTCTGCGGTATCAGTTATTTTAAATCTGTATTGTTTTATATTCTCTACATTTTCTAGTACTTATTATAATATAAGATTATATTATTGTAATTACTTTTATTTTCTATTTTTAAAATATTGGCCTTACATGATCATGTTACATAAGTCTGTACCAATAATAGTTTTGGACTAGTTGTATTTCAGGCAAGTACCAGGATTTAAAACTCCATGACTTATAGCAAAAGCTATGAACAACATGTTAACTAAATTCATCGTTTGTACGTCCCAATTCCAAGAGAAATTTTCATCTGCAAAGAATTTTTATAGTAAATTGTACCAATCTGTCTTCTGGCACAAATTTTCCCATCTTTTTTCACCTTCTTTTTCTGTGGCTAAATTACATTACTTGGCTGTAGCAATCAATCAATATTCACAGACACCGTATCCACAAAGAAAGATGGTGTATTGCCACTGAAGTGTTATTGAAAATATTTTGAAGTGTACGTCACGTGTAATAGCAGATCTATGGAAAGACATGGTTCAGGGTTGGTCAGGTGTCTGTTTTTTTCCCCTAATAGCTGAAGGTGAATTACAATTTTTGAAATTTAGAATTTTAGAATATTTGAAAAATTTACATCTGAAAGTTATTAATAAAAATTTGAAATAAGAATGTAAAATATTAGGGGATCACTATCCTTTCATATAGCATTTTAAAGACAAAAAATTAACCTTAGACCCCATTTCCATAGACACTATCCGTCTAAGTAGGTCTTTGCAACTTTAAGGGGACTCTTGCTGAGTGTAATCAGCTCAACTGAATGACACACCTCCTGTTGTTTCCAATGAACTCGTATATAATCACCAGCTTTTCTGTATTCTACATAACCCCGAGAGGAGACAAGTTATTCTTTAAAGCAGATTGTACTCAGCAAGAGTCCCTGCAAAACCACGGAGTACTGACAGCCTTGTATTAGGCTTTGTCATAAGATTTCCAGTGTCACATAATGCCTGAACTTGATTGTCCAATGTGATACTATTCTGGTATAGGCGCTGATATGAGAGATCTTACGATATTACCTCATATTAAGTAAATGAAACTGATTTTTTTTTTCTAAGCCATTACTTGCCCAATTTGATGTCGGGTCTGAGCAATCGATATTTATTTGCATTAATATGAGGAACTGCACAGTAAGATTGGATATATACATTGTAGTGTGGAGGAAAATTTGGCAATGAATATATATATTTTAAGACAAATTGTTTCAAACAATGTACATTAGACCTTTCTATAGCAAAGTAAATCCTGAAAATTTTGGCAATTTTCTCTTTAGAACCAGTGTATAGCACATCCAAAACCACTTAGAAAATTAAATTCTATAAAACTTGAATTTGCCAGTCTCCATCTTCGTCACAGCTAAAATTTATAGATTGTACTTTTTTTAACAGTTTAGGATATGAAAGCACAAAATTCAAGTATACAATACAATTGGGATTGGGCAAATTTCTAGGTCTTCCACGAAAGCACAAAATTTACACTCAAATATTTGTTTATTTAAATAGTAAAAAAAAAAAAAAAAAAAATTAATCAGCAAGGTTTTAAAACAAGATGACCATTTTTAGATAAAATGCGGCAGACAATTTTAGGAAAAAGCTAATAATAATAATAATAATAATAACCCCTAGATTTTAAAACACACTTTGACTGGAATTCGAAGTCTAATTTTTTGAAGGTTGTGAAAACAAAGACATTGCAGATCTTAAAACAGAAGTGGAATAATCCGAATTATTCATGTGACCAATTTAATCAAGGAGTAAGAGTTCAAGACAAGAAACCTAATTACTTCTCCTCCATATATCACGCACTAGTTGAACTTGCACTAATTCTAAAATCAGATACAACATGGATAGTAATGATTGATAAACATGAAAATAACCTAGTCCAGTGATCACTATCTGTGCACAAGCAAACCACCACGAAAGCTTACAATGATTAAAAAATAACTTCGGACTATACCAAGCTGATGAATATTTGTACTCAATAAAACAAAATCTATGGAATAGTTTGTGATTTTTAGGCATAACTGCATTTTAAATAAATGTACTCACCGTTCTGTCTTCTAAATACATGGTCTTTGAGAGAAAATCAATTCCTATTGTGGCCTGAAAAATTAAAAACACAAAATTAAGATATATAAGTAAAGTGGAAAAATGATATCTTGCTACATAAAGGTCTATTAACCCTGAAAAGAAGTGGACCAGATTATTTTATTTTAAGAACAATTTATTAAAAAATTACCAAAAACTATGGGTTCACCTTTAACAGAATTGGAGCAAAACTCTAAAAGTCTAAAAGTTAAGACCCGTTTTCCAGCCCAACTTCTGCAAAAACTGACAGACAGAGCTGTCCTCAAAGAAGCAGAAAAATTTTCTGGTCTAAAAAATTTAGACACCAAACTTCACTTGCAAAAACTGACACCCCTGTGCTGGACATTCCAAAGCAAGCAGACTAAAATTCTGGTCTAAAAGTTAATACTAATTTTTTAGCAGTTTAGACCCTTTTTCTAGCGAAAAATCTTCAAAAACTGACACCCAAGGGAACAGTGCTGCCCTGTCGGAAGCAGACTGAAATTCCAGTCAAAAATGTTTAAACCCCTTTTCCCAGTCTAACTTATTTTTGTGAAAACTGACACCCTAGGGCCTTGTGCTGTCCTGGAGAAAACTATCAACTTGATACCAGCCCCATAATGTCTTCCGATCAATAACCATCTAGGTTGTTACTGCCAAATATTTAGAAATTTCCATGGCATTTTAATAATTGTTTCTTGATTATTCCCATCAATAACAGTGGATCATATTAACCTGACTGCTATGAGTCATGGGCTTGTAAGTTTTCCTTTCAAACTTGACATGTATTGGTATTGCTAGGTTTGTACACATTCAACACAATTCTGTGACACTGTGTGTGTGTGTGTGTGTGTGTGTGTGTGTGTGTGTGTGTGGAGAGAGAGAGAGAGAGAGCACTAGTGCATGTTCCCAACTGCATTTCGGTAGTTAATGTGGGATCAGAAAGCGAGTACTTCCTAACTAGTACATTAACAAAATATCTGAACAATGTGTGTGCGCACACGTACATGTCTGTATGCATGCTTACTAGTATGTAGGTGACAGATACTAAGGGAGCGTTCAGACAGACACATCAAACTACTGTAGTTGGGTAGGTCCAACTCAGCTCTTGAGTGCTCTCAAGTAAATCCAATCAACTGTACTGAAAGGCGTGCTTCCTGGAGCAGCTAGGCTGTAATAAAGTCTAATGCATGCAGAGGATAATTACTAGTACCTCCTTGAGTCCTTAGCTGCTCCAGGAGGCATGTCGGTCTATTAAGCAGATTCCACTGATTGCACTTAGCAAATACTAGTAGGATGTGTTTTTCAGAATGGGGTCTAACAAGGCAAAAGGGGGAGCAGTTAGTATAAGCAGTCACTGAAGTTAACATCTGTTTCAAGTTGTTCAGAATACATCCTATGTCTGCCTCTGAGATTTGAAAATCAAGCACCTTAAAGGAGAAAAAGAGAATGGTGCATGTTGGTTACACCACAGTCATCAAACAACTGCTCAACCAAGAGAATTGTCACTAAGAATTATCACCACTCCAATATTTGCTGTTACAGGTTGGTCTATTTAAAATCTACTCAGGGGTTTGGGGAAATCAGGGTAACAAACGAAGTTCATTCTGAGGGCAAGAATGTAATCGATTGACCAGTCACAGCGTCTGGTTGATTCAGTTTCTATCTCTCGTGACTCCCTGAGGTTATTTGAAGCTATCGCACTTACATAACAACAACGACCGTTGTCAAGATAGGAGATTAGTAGGCTTCCATGCACTTCTATTGATTTGGCATTTTTTTTATTACTCAACCCAGGGCAGAAACCAATACAAGTGATGTTTGAAAGATTGAAAAGCATCCTTTGGGCTGTGCACAGTTTCTGCTTCTTTATGATGACGTTGTTACCTTCCCTACTGGTTAAATCAAAGATGAGAAAGAAAAAAAAAAAAAAAAAAACAAGTAAAAAACTTACATTAAAAATTAATAAAACAAATTTATAATAGTAACTTTTAAAAAAAGTCACTGTATCAACCCACACCAATTTAACTGAAGACATTAAAAAATTTGGTTGTACAAAAAGTGATCCCTAATTTCTCCAGTTAGACAATAAAGACCCTTCTTCTCCCTTTTCCTAAAGTTGGACAAGAATGAATCTCCTTTGGGTTCTGCTGAGGTTTAAAAACGTTGCAAATTTCAGTGGAAATCCAGTAAAAAATCTTCAGAGCTGTACAAAACAAGTTTGACTACAGTAATACAACATTAATCATGCAAAAATTCACACTTAGAAAAAAACTGTAACTGTTCTATAGACCCAAGTAAAAGCATGTTGGAAAAAAATAATTTATTGATCTGTTTGTCCCAATATCAGTTGCTCCAATATCTTTCCCATCATCTCAGAAATCAAACTTCATCCGGGAGCAAGTTTGAGTGCACCAAACTCTCCACTAATAAGCCAAGGGCAACATCAGACCTATTTCTTGGACGTTACACCTAAAACCATTCCAAGACTATCCCCAGAAAAAAAAATCATCTTCACCCTGGGAAACCCATATTGACTTTTAATCAACACATACATCTTCAGAGCTGAACTAAACAAATTTGACAGCAGTAATCATTATTTATTCAAATAAATCCCTAAAAACTGTAACTGTTCCAAATACTAGTACCCAAGTAAAAAAGCACACTTGAAAGAAATCATTTATTGATTTGCACAATATCAGTTGCTCCAATATCTTTCTCATCATATCAGAAATCAAACTTCATCCGAGAGCAAGTTTGAGTGCACCAAACATCCACTACACCAGGGGCGATATCAGACCTAACTCTGCAACATAACATGTAAACCCCATCCCAGACTAACCCCAGAAAAAAGAGGATTTCGCTGCAATTAAAAAATTATCATCACCCTGGGAGTCCCATGTTGATTTTTAATCAACATATGTTGAGTTACAATGCCAATACCTCAACTCACAGACTAAAGAACAGGGTGCTACACAGACCTCCATTTACTGAAGATAGCCTCCAAACGGTTTTAGTCAAAATGGGGCTTAAACACGACCATGGGCGATATACAAATATTCTATCGATCAATAAAATCCCTAGACATTCGAGGACACATCTTAGAAGATGATGAATAGACTAGACAGAAAGCTAATAAGCTGACTCATCCCGGCAAGAAGCACTTGTTACAAGTCAGACTTCGTTCTCTGTAAATTTTATCTCTTGGCTGCCATCAAACTGACAAAATATATCTGTTCCAGGCCGGCAAATTGTGTATCTTTTCCAACAACTTCAGTGTTTGTATTTACCAGTACTAGTAATGATATCTCCAGATCTCTTCTCTCTCTGGCTAGTCATTTTAGGACCCAAGCTTACAGCAAAACATAGCGACTGAAAGATGCTAAGGGGGGAAGGCTTTGGTTTTTGACCCACAGACTATAAGGCATCATCCCTAAACCTGTCTGGTTTCAATCAACATAAATCTATTGAAGTATCTGCTTATAAACAGAGGAAACGTGAATGAGAATAGTGGTTGCTTTTTTTTTTTTTGTCTAAAAGTACATCAGTTCAATCTAGAGGAGACAAAAACATAAATTCCCTATAATAAACAATTTAATGGGTTCAAGTGAAGCATACAGAATTTGTGGCTGTCACTGAAGAGAGGAACTGACCCATATTTTCAGTTCACTGCAGATAAATAAGGGCAACCTATGATAAATGACCAGAGGAGATAACTAAGGTCAACTACTGATAGGTCAATTATCCTCACAGTGTGGGCACTAAAAATAAGGTCAACTTGTAGATATATCACCAAATTAGATAAATAAGGTCAATGCATTGCTCACAGATCAACTAAAATAAAAGAGGTCAAATAATAATATTTAGCCAAAAATAGACCATAAGTTCGACTTCCAGGTGATATAGATATCCCATTAGTAAATTAGGCTATTCTTGTTCGTGGGAGTATAAATAATGTAGGATATTCCGTCAGAACTATTAGAAATTCTCAGAAAATGCACCATAAACAGGCCATCAAAATTCCACTGCTTGTCGAATCCAGGAAAACGACCTTAAGTATTCAGGCCAAGTAGCACTTATATCACAAATTCCACATCCAACAGTGAGTGATCTAGGAAATATCACGGCAATTCCCAGTAATGAGATCATTACAATGCCAGAGAGCCATTTCGGAGGACAACAACCCTGCGCTGAACTAAATATGAACAGAAATTCCAGGAATCGCCAAAGAAATCGATGATAACGACCATTACCCAATGGGGTAAGGATAAAGATTAGTGAATCTTAACAATACTTGATAGCAACCTAGGAGCTTAGGATAGTTTACTGTTGGGGATAAATACTATCACTGTCTTGTCCCAAATATATTCTCCTGTCGAATGTCAAGTTAGTTTCTAACCAACAAATTTTAGCAGTTGTGTTATGCACTCAAACTGAGAACAAAAGTTTCTTCAAAACAAGTGCTATAATCTGGGAAACCACTCTGAATTTAGCTACTATCACGGTAAAAACTTAGACTGTTTTGAATTTTTTTGTCTGTTCCATTGCACCCTGTGGTACTCTCTTGTCCCATTATCATGTGCTAAATGGCCAAATCATCTGTTTCGATGATGGCTTCATTTTCAGTCAGAAGATTCAAGGAAGGGGGTACACTCTCACATAAGAGACATTTTCTTTAATATAATAATTATCAAAAATCATGGATTATTGTTTTTTTTTTAATGTTCCAGCCAAATCACAATTATTATTGGTACCAAAGATACCAGTTGACTTACTCCTTCTTATTTGTAATTTTTATCAAACATCACCATTCCAATGAATTATTATAGCAATAACAATATATTCATAGCTTCTAAAGATGCTAGCATCATTACTCCTACTTCTATAATCACACTACTGTGCTATCAAGACAGCAATTATAAATGTATTACAGTCAATGATATAAGCCTGTACTGGCTCATCTGATATGTACCATGATGGTGGCTTAATCTTCAGTCTGAATATTCAGACAAGGCAGCAAAGCTGTCAAATGTACAGACAAAAAACAGGAAATAACTATGCACAAAATAGGCTACTGTCAATTCTGATGCAAAAGTACATTATGTTAAACTGCAAATTCAACATCAAATTTTAATTATGCTCAAGCAGCACCCAAAATTGTGTTTTCTTCTATTCTGATGCAATATTACATAATGGTTAACAGCATAATGACCGTCAATTTTTAATAATAAAATATACATGGATTTTCAGAAAATGTGACTNCAAACAAACACTTTTATGTATCTTATTAGTAAAATAATAAGACTGTTAACATGCCTAAGAATTGAATCTGAGGAAATGTGAAAAAACAGCATAACTTCTAAAGTAATGGCCCGATCATGCCGATTTTCGAACTTGACCTGCGTTTTAGTAAGATTGATTACTCCTGTGAGTTTCATGACAACAGGCCTAACGGTGTTCCTTAAAATGTGTTTACAGGGTTGCATATATGCTGAAAAGTGAAAAAACAGCATAAGTTCTACAATAATGGCCCGATCATGCTGATTTTCGAACTTGACCTGCGTTTTATGAATATTCATCAGCTCTGTAAATATAAAGCCAAAAAGTAAAACTGTCCTCCACTTATCGTGTTTACAAGGAAAGTGCACGGCATCGGCGACGGCATCGGCATCGGCATCGGCATCGGCATCGGCATCGGCATCGGCGACGGCATCGGCGACGACAGACGCAGGTGATGGCAATATGTACAGACACATCTGTGTCTGTACATAAAAAGGGGTAATCATGTTTCATTTTCTTTTGCTATTAAAGGTACCATTATTCCAACTTAAATATTATCTATACATATATATAAGAGCACATTCAGAACAGCAGACTACCATATCCACGTATCAAATATGGAGACCCACTAAAACACTTAATTCTTGATTAGACACTGAATAGATTCCCTTCTGGGAATTCACAACAACCATTCAAGATGGTTGGCCACATTTGACCTTCAGGTCTGTTAGGCCACATTCAGAACAGTGGACTAACTGGTCCGAGGTCAAATATGGCAACATACTAAAAAGCCTGCAGTCTAATCTGCTAATAGACACTGAACAGATTCCCCGTGGGAAAGTATTCAAGTGGGTCGGCCATATTTGACCCCAGGACTAGTAAGTCAGCTGTTCTGAATGTGTTCTTACAGTCAATATTGAGAAAAGGTTAGACAGTCTCACCTGATATGTGTTGTCAAAACTGTCGTACATGAACCTTGTGATCAGAGATGTCTTCCCCACTGGAATAGAGAGAAAAAAGGTCAATGCAGCAAAAGACATGAAATGTGCAGGATTTATAAATAAATAAATAAATAAATAAATAAATAAATAAATAAAATAAAATAAGCAACAATTCAAATATAAAATCTGCTAGACAGACAAATGCAACATTCACTTTAATTTGTAGTATACTAGTAACAAGGTCCTTCCTTTTTATTTTGTATTCAAACAACAATGCAAACAGGTATGACTGCCATTTATTGAAAAAGTCTAGCGAAAATATGGCACAGGGTCTACACGTACCCCTACTCTCCCATTTTTATTGCAGATCTGCATCGATCTCGAAAACTGATATTTTATCTCCCAAAACGTTGAAATCAGTCAATAGTGCAAAAAATCTCATCCTATTTGAATCTTAATGTACTCTGAGTATTTTAAGACCAGTATTTATCAAAAGCACCATATCTACTAATTAACTTCTCTCTTTTTTTTTAACGGTGATAATTTTCAACAACTGGTAATGTATTTATCATGCCCGAGGGAGCTAAATCGTGCGTCATATTAGAAAAGACTGGGGGTAGAAAACTGGAGAAAAAAGCAATTTCACACATCTGTTATTCTGCACTTCCTCCATGTTGGCGAGACAACAGAGAATCAGCTTAATTTGATGAACTGGATGCTAATAGAGAGAAATTCTGTTTATCCTTTCTATGAGCCAGGGAAGTACAGATAAGTGGAAGTGTGGAGAATCAATAGAACAAGGCTTAATACCAGATAAAGTCGTGTTCCCAGTCAAGCTGCATTAACCCATCTCAGTTTGATCATTTTTGATAGGCTTTCTGCTAATGTTTAGCTCACCAAAGCAGGTGATTCTAATCCCTCAGCTTTCCTGCACACCACGACTGTATTTCTAACTAGGTGCAGTGGGTTGCTTTGGAGAGCTTATTTCAAGCAGGCACCACGAGAAGGGTTGTACTAATTATATATAAGTTAGAACCTCCCAAATTCAATGGAACCACACCTTTCTTTCCAGTCTGCTCGATGAAATTCGATGTCAGACTGCAAAGCTTACAAGTCTACATGTTCAATGATGTCTCAGAAGAAATTCATCCAGGTTCTTGAGTGGTATTTGACTAAATTGTATACTAGCACGTTATAAGCCTTATATGTGTCCTTATGTGTAGTATACTACGATTACTTCAGTAGTTATATACTAGGATTTGTGATATATTCCTGCTGTCATTCCACTTTTTTCCAGATAAAGAAAGCAAAGCATTCTGAAAATAAACATTTTGATAATTTTTCTTTTTTACTCATACATTTGTGTTGACCATTTTTTTTTTTTTTTGAAGCTTTTTGGCTAAAACAAAACGTAATATGCAGAAAGAGTACATGTGCACATAAAATCTAAGGTCTATGAATCAAATGACCGCAAGTAGTAGCAAAGGCAGAAAACATTGCTCAGAAGCCCTATGAACAAGTGAAGTGTGCGCCCACATAAAGACGCGTGTACACACACAAACACAGTTTCCTCACAGATATAATATTTACAACAAACACACACCTTCATACGAACACATTCACACGAACACATCTTACATACAAGCCTGCACATCTTACATACAACACACACACACACATACACGATTCCTATAAATGTAAAACAAAACTATAGAGCCCCTTCTAGTACATAAGCCAATGACCATTCCATCTTATCAGAATGTCTTCAGTATGCTGTGCTGCAGGACAACAACCATCTTGGGACCACGAAACATGAAAAATTTTCACAACTGGGGCTCATCTAGGAAGACAACCAGCTCTTTTTCCAGACCCCAAGAGACTTTGCAAATGTAATGTTAGATATGCACTGCTGCAGGCACAACTACAAACAAGTTTCATATAATTATTTTCATACAGGAATATTATTTTTATTTTCAGAATTCTTTGGTGCAAAGGTGCCTTGCAGTTTCCTGACACTCAGGGTAGCACTCACAACCTTCTTTCAGGGTGAGAGACAGTATTTTCTATTTTCACTCTAGAGGGACATCCACAAATTTTTCAATGCATCTGCAATTTCCTGTATTGTCCGTCGCAAATTTTTGCAAAGAAAAAGAAGAAAAAAAATTCATCGCCCAGCTGGTTGAGAGCAGCTGTGACTTGGCCAACAAGGATCACTGTACCATAATCTAATAGTAGCTGGACAGCGGTCATCAATAAAGACACCATCCAATTAACTGTCCACTCAGTCAACTCATAACAAGATTATTCTACCGAGTTCTGACCTTGGAGCTTTTCTAATGGACTTTCATGTCTAGGATCAGAGACATTATTTCTTTTTAACAATGAAAACTACTGCTACATATCCATTTCATCAGGCATTCAGAACACTAGAGAGATAATTATGCCTTAATGGCCATCAAATTCATTATACACAGTTAACGATGTTGAGATAATTACTCTGGTTTGGTATCCACTTTTGACTTTGACTGAAGTTGGATATCAAAGGTTATAGCAGCTTTTTCAAAAAAAAATGTTTTTCAAATTATACAATTTTTCTGACTTAAATGGTCAGAAGCACTAATGAGAGAGAGAGAGAGGGAGAGAATTGAAGGGAGGGAAAGGGGTAAGAACAGGAATGCTGCATTCCTATCATCCACATACTCAGAAAAAGCTTAGTAGTAGACTACTTAACATTTCCATTCAAATACCATCACTAATTCAGTTTACAGAAAAGCTCCTGTCAGGGCTAACAGAGATTTAATTATTTACACTCCAGTTCAATCCCTGTGTGTCTCTAAGCTGTGTGTCATATTGTGTAATCACAGTCCATCAATACTTTATATCTCCCTTACCTTAACAACACAATTATTTGGTGTATAGAGATGGATTGGGCCCAAATGAAGCACCCCCCCCACGCTCTCAATATTAATTGTACTGCAATCCCCTGAAAACTTTCTAAAATTTATCTCAGTGCAGTTTAAAAGAATAGTGATATAGGTGTGTGTGTGTGTGTGTGTGACAAGAGAGAGAGAGAGAGAGAGAGAGAGAGAGAGAGAGAGAGAGTAATGCAGACTTGACAAATTAAAGCTGAATAGTTCCTCATAGGTTTGACTTTGAAAAATAGGGGATAAAGGGCAATAAAATGTGTTCTTAAACAGGATATGCTTAATACACAGTGACATCTGATGAAACAAAAACAATACAGTCCCATGACTTGAAAATGTTAGTCCCATGCCAACACCTTGTTCATGCGCTATAAAAAATAGTCTCAAGGCAATAATAAAAAAATTCCAGACATTACATGTTTGAATTTTTTTAGTTTCATATATCTATTAAGCCAGTAAATATTGATTTTCCAACCGATGTTACAGAACAGGGATCTGCTACATTGTCTTTGCATTGCCTGATCCTTTTCTCTAACTGTCTAGTAATCTTGTTTCTTTTCATTTCTTTCTTTGCTGCTGCCAAAATTTGGTAATTTGCTAGTACACTTGTTCTTTAAATGAACTGCATCTAGATTTACATAATGATAAATACTATAAACATGAATATACAAGTCAATTAACTAAATAGAATTAATAATAATACTGATATATGCCTGAGAATTTTCTCAAGTTCATAAAAGGTACATAAAGATAAGGATCTATTACAGTTACACATTCAATTGAAAGATGCACTCACAGCATTCAATACTACAAATAACTAAATTATTTCTCTCATCATTAGGCTTCTCTCTCTTCATTCTCTCTCAATTCACCCCCTCCCCCTCTGTCCCTCTCTGTTTCTCCCTCTATCATCTTTTCCCCATCCTTTCTCCCCCTCTCTCTCTTCCTCAACATAACGACACTTTCCTTCATTTTCTCCAACTTCTCTTTGTCCTTCTCTCCATCCTCTCTCTCTCCTTTCCTCCCTTCTCATTCTCTCTCTCCCTCTCTCTGGCACAACTTACCCCCTAGATTCCCCAGCAGACACAGCCTAGCCTTGTGCCAGGTGTGCACAGGTGATGAATACCTGTCAGATGACAGATACATCCTGATGGTATGAAACCCAGATATTCTATTACAGCTTCCTCAGTCAAATACTTTTTGAAACAGTTTCTCTGTGAACTGTACCTTCCTGTGCTAAGACTCAGTTCCAGTCTCTCTGGTTGGAAGTATATTTTTCTTACAGACTTAGAGACTATTAGTCCCAAGACAGCAGTGAAATTCTCTGGTGACTTGTCTTAGTACTATGTGTGACGCCACACAATAAGAATTAACTGACTAGACAGTAATTATAATAGCAGTTGCAGGTTGATCAAAATGACTGATATCGAACTACTTCATGAAATAATAAGTCACAAGAGTCGACCGTGAACTTCAGCTCCCAGGACTCGAAGATACCTTTGCTCCTTTCAAGGTTCAACATACACAGACAAATTACACCATGTTATATAATATATTATACCAGGAGTAAAGTTTTATCCTCAAAATGATCAAAACTCAGGGTCTTACAAACACCACATAGGCAAGGTGCTAAGCTCCGTCTTCTTCAAGTTGGTCTGGTGAAACCCAGGGTGTAAAGTACAGTCAAATGCACAATATGTATATTCCAGGCACAGAGTTCTATCTTCGAACTGGTCTCATGAAACTCGCAGTTAAAAAAAAACACCATATATATACACAGGGTGCTTAGCTTTGTCCTCAAACTGGTCTAATGAAACCCAGGGTGCAACCTTAGTTGTATCGATTCAAAATACTGAACGCCTTCCTTCTTTATAAATAAGTAGGTGGGTGTGACTGCCAAATTGCCAATCTACAAGAACAAGGCACTTTCTGGATGGTAAGACATCTCAACGGATGCACACATCACAACGCTATTACATGAACTGTAATGAACAGGTGATACTCAGTCCACCTCAACTGAAGCTAATCTAATCCTGTTTTGAGGTATTTTGCAATTCAGCTCTCAACATTTCCCCTCTTTTCCCCTGCCTTGTTGGAACCAAGTGAGTTGGAGGAATGACTCATCTTGTGTTATGATAATGTATATAAACATAAATAGATGACACCTCTTCTAATGTTAGGTCATTAGCTGTTTACAATATAATATGGGCAACTAACCACAAACAAGGACTGAAAACAGTCACAGCTCAAAGGGCAGTCTTTTTATTGGGTGATGACTTCTACACTTATCAATTGCTACCGCTTGCTTACACACTGAATTTCCAAGTCATCATCATTCATGCTAATTTTGCGAGAATATTTCAAAAGGGGGTGTGGCAGGTGCATACGTAAGCGTCCTCTGGGAAGTTCTTGCTCAATATTTTGTCTGCTGAGGTAGCAAGACAAATGAGAATTTACGAGGTTTATTTCAGGATTTTTAACGTGTTCAAAAAAGATCGGTCCGTCTGCATGCAGACATGATAAATAAAACCGGAAATCACCTTTAGAAATGGACAAACGAGACGACTTCTAGTCGTCACTAATCATCTTATTCTATGTTTAAAGGGACACTGATAACACAATGGTATTGGATGTCTCGTCTGACATCATCGCATTTTTCACATATGAGAAAGAAATATATTTTGTCATAAATCTTCAGTGGCCCTGTCAATCGGGTGAAACCGACCCTGTAAGAAACGATCACCGGCTTCAACTTACCGCTTTGCTCTCCCAGAAACACGAGCTTAAATTTCCGCAAGGGGTTCCCGAATTCTCCTGCTGACATTTTTCTTTTGTTCTAGTTTATGTTTAGATCACCAAAGTCTTTTTTTCATTAAAAATCCGATCTTTTTTAGTAGTACCCCCTCAGCATTCAACTCGCCACGTCCAGAGCCTCGATGTGATATGAATTACTCATGCGCACTCCACTTTGACAAATGTTTGTTCATTGGTTAATCACAATCATGTGGCTTGGACAAAATGGTGGAAACCAGTTTTTCCGTGCTTCCAAGATAAATTTTTATGAGAATTTGAAACGTCTGATAAAAAGTGAAAATTATCACTTTCAGGTGAAACGAAATAATCGCTCGTAAAATGTCTTGTTTGCTCACCTTGTGAAGGAAGCGTGTGCCTTCTCCCAACATGGCATACTCAATTAAAGATGAGCATTACTATTCCATAAAAATGTAGGACTAGTAGTAATGCAAATATAACTGTATTAACTTGTTGACGCTCAATTTTATTTTGAGAAAGTTGAATTTTAAGGAACTTACAACAAACACGATTATAGCGAGTTCAAGACTCAGCCAATTTTAAGTTGGCCAAATCTTATTTTATTTATTTTTGTTCTGTACATATTTTACAGCCAAATTCTTTAATTTTTAAACAATTTGAATACAAATTGAACCTGGTAGAGGACTTGGTTATTCAAGAAATTTACATATCCCTTTACTAATAGTAAAGGGGACCCTTGTGATTTTTGTTTGTATAAATAAGTATTAAAATTAACATTTTTCATCTTTAAAATGCCATCCTCTAACAACTGCATCCTTAAAAACAATTTGGCTTTGAAGCTGAAAATGTTATTGTGTTTAATCTCTATATATACGTATAAGGACTATATTTATATAACATGCCTGGCACCCTATTTTTTGTACACAACAGGTGCTGAAATATGAACACCAATTATCATCATTATATTTTTAAATTTTGACATAATTCAAAACTTGTGCACAAAAACAGGCACCAAGCATGCACTTGAGCTTTTATTTCTTTCTATCTTAAGAGTACTACAAGAACGAATAATTATTTCACCATCCTGGGCCATCTTAAACTTAGAAAGTAATATCTACAAAATCCCTCAAATGAGGACATTTTTTTCAGAAAAAAAAGTTTAAATTAATGCCTAATTGGCATGAAGGGTTACACTGCCATTTACAGCCTGCACCCAATGGAAGCACAAAAAAAAAAAGACAATTTTATCAATGTTTGTACTTGTATCCAATACAAGCAGCCCTGAATTAAAATGACCCAGTTTGGATAGCTAATACTATATACGTGTATTATCTTATGCAGGTTCTCATGAACACAAAAAAACTGGCAATGCTAAGAGCAGCATGGCTGTTTCCCAGCACTGGTATATTACATACAATGCAGCAAACATCCCATGTAAAAGAGCAAAGCTCGTGTCCACAATTGCAAGGGTTTGACCATAAAAATGGTGATAGAAAAAAAGTTCACTGAAACTGACAATGATGACAGGGAACTACTGACAGTAATTAAATGCCACACATTTTGAGTGAAACCTGCAGGTATGTTTAAAAGATTCCTCGTAAAATTATTTTAACCCTCGCCCCATACTTACTCACAGGACTTACACCTCCACCTCTTTTCCCTTTTTTTTTAATGAAAAATTTATTAATCTGAGTTATTTAAAATTTCTGAGCTAAATCCTCTCTCTGCAAAGATCATTTTCGTAAAATCTTTACAAAGAACTGTGAGAAAACTGTGGGGCTTAGGGAAATATGCTCTTTTTCTTAGAAATGAGTTCGGTAACACCAAGTGCATGTTCGCTAGGTAAGCATGATCAACATTCATGGCAAACTTGTCCTGTTAACTCTTTGACACTGTCAGTTACTTCTCTTAGCTATCATATGGGTCTCAGTCAAACAAAACTGAGACATCCTTATTAATCTGCATACTTCTGACCTATGAGGGTTTTGTATTGTATAAAGATTTATCACTTTTGCTTTTGTTGACAAAAAAAATCAAACCACATTCATCAAAGCAACCACCGACTAGAAGCAAAACTAAATGTTTGGATGTAAATTCGTTTCAACCAAACTGTGGAGAAATGAGGGGTTGACCTTTGGACCCTGCAAGGTCAAGGTCGACACTTCTCTCCTCACATTATTAATAAATTTAACTCTTCAAAATACATCACCTTTTTAAGGTCATTAAAACCAAGCTGAAAGAAGTAACCAGACTTCATTCTCATACATTTTATAATATTTTTTCAAAATTAAAAAATAAAAAAAAAATATTTTCTTCAATAGCTGTTTGTAATCTTTTGCTATCAATTCTTTTTTTCTTGCATTTTTCACTCAGTAATGGCTTATGAAACCTTACTAAAATGAGTTTACACTTAAGCAATTCTTATGACAGCAGGAAAGCAATCACAAGCTTTGTCTTGTATTTTAAACTGAAAGACCAAAGGCTGGCCCGTAATGTGTGTTTGCATGTGCACTGGCTTGTGCCGTGTTTGTGTTGCATCTCTCACCCTTGCAACCCACATCTCAAAAACCAGTCATTCTTGCACTCCATCATCCTCAAAGTAACACATTTGGGAAGGAACACATTTACCATGTTATCATAAGCCTGTTAAACCGAGTCAATCAGTTTTTGTCCACACTGACACCTCCTGATCAGAATAACAAAGCCATCCTTTTTTTTTTTTACTGTCGCTCAACACATTATCACTCACTCAACACATCAGTTGAATAGGTCAGTTGAAATCAGTCGAAAATTCTGTGCTCCATTTTGTCTTAGCATTGAGACATAAAAAGATGCTGAACTCATTTCCCTCTTGTACTTCAACTTATTAGCTCTTCACAAGGAAATCTATTGACTGGGTTCTGTATTCATTTATAATTGATTGCAACTCAGTTGAATCAAAACCAAACTCCTCCACTTTAGATAATGGTAAAATTCACGAACAATGAATTCTTCCTTTTGTCTCTTCCCATGGTAAAATAATTTCCTATTAATCCACGGGTGAGATCTTGTTTAAGACAGGAGCTGATTTTCTCCCTTCTTTTCATGGTGAAAAAATATTGAATAGGATATGTCTGCCATTTTCATCCATTCATTCATTTTCATCCACCCATTCATTCTTTCTTTTCTTCTTTCTCTTCATCTAACACTTAAACAATGCCCTCTGATATGTTGTTTCCAATCCTTTAGAATTGAAACCCCTCTGATGGTATCTTGGCATTGGGATCGAACTGGAAGCCTTCCCCTGAGGCCTCGGGTACCACGTTTGGGTCTTCGTCGATCTGTGGGTGGAAAAAATCAAAGGTTCTCAAATTCTGTCTTAATGTCCGTTTCCAATGGAGATTAAGAGACACAACTGACTACATACAATCTCCGTACTAAGACATTTAATTATACTTATTCAAACCACATGCACAAAAAGTCAATTTCCCCTTTTTCTGAGCACTGTCAATGCTACTGTAGATACATGCATCACCTTCATCACTTTGCCATCACTGTGCCTTTATTTTTGATAATTTTACTTTTATGTTAGAAAATAAAGTATACTCACGTCCCCAGAGAAGTACTGATCAATGATTTCATATGCTAGTTTATAAATTTCTTCATTTTCATGGTTTTGCAATGACTCAATTTTATCCAACCCTAAAAAGAAAGAAAATCATATTTCTGATTTTGAAAAAATAGATAGGCATATACTGTTGTTGAAAATTATGTTGACTTGAGCACACAAATATCACTTTAATCCATTTAATCACTTAAATTAGTCATCATTTAATATCACTTAATTCAAAGTTTGAAAGAATTGTATTAAGCTACTCTGAATTGCAGGTAAACAATATTCATAAAATATGACAATCAGATTTTCAGAATGAGTCAATCACATTAGAAACTGAAACAAAAAGCTTACAAATCTACAAAATTAGCAATAGAAGAACCAATGCTACTTTGGGACTAATAAAAACAAGAACACCGATTCAGAAGCAAAAAAAAAAATTCCTTTAAGTTGGTAACGCACCTCCGCACCCCTCTATCTCGTTACAAATCCTCTCCGTGTCATCTCCGGCCATCTTGAGGATGTTGTTAATGCCGTCAAGGACCACCTGGATCACCTGTAGCTCCTTCACTGTCATCAGGTTACAAAATGGCGGAATCACGCCTTGCTGCACCACGTACGCCACCTGATCCTTACGCCCGCTTATTGTAAGGTTGCTGATTGCCCACGCAGCCTCTTTCTGGGTTTGAAACTCACCCTTGAAATGTGAATGGTGTATTTGTTATTTTGGTACCTTTTTTTTTATTCTCACAACCTATGATACTTTAACCATATCAAAGTTTACACCTGTAAATGACAGCTACTACAATCAATGTCAAGAATGCCAAATACTTAGTTCAAAAGACGTAAAGATAGTTGGTGGAGGGGGGGGGGGGGGGCATAAATGCAAAACCGAAATATGTAGATATCTGGGTAAAGGGAGAAGACTTCTTTCTCTTCCTTCTGAAGTGTACCTACCCTGTTAAGATGATGTATTATCATAGGTATAAGCTTGGCATCAATGACTGCTTGCACCTGCTGCTGGTTGCCTGCCGTGATGTTAGACAAGAACCACACTGCTTCCTGGGAGAGTTGGGGGGAGAAAATAGAGAAAATTATGCTGAAAAACTTTTTAATGAATCAAGAATTTCATATGGAAATTATGATGAAAAACTCATTTACCACATGTGCATTTAAACACAATGTGTTTTGTTATACTAGGGGAAATATAAGCTGTCAGACTGAATCTAACTAAGAAGCAGACATATCAAAATGTTCCTATATATTTTCAAAGATAAACATCTATTGAAAATGATGAAAAGCATTTCTTCAAGAATCGAGTTTATGCTTCGACAAGGATATCATGCTCCAACCTCTTTCTTCTCCAGAGCTCGCTATATCAAAAATTTTGTCAAATTTCTAAATTGTGAAAAAAAAGAAGTCTCGACCATCAGAACCGTACATGTTAAGATTGTCTTAAACAGACACCCTCTACATGTAAAGAAATTCAAATCAAGACCACCAAGGACACCTCCAAAATAATCAACCGATCAAAATCACTCACAACCTGACAGGGAGAAATAAGGCGGAGAGACAAAAGGGAAGAGATAAAGTAGGAAGAGACAGCATGTTTGAATGAAAATAATGGGCTGGTTTTGTTTCATAATCATCGACCTCAATCTCTGGGGTCTCAGATGCACTCCGTGTTCTTCACATTTGCTGTGGAAATCGGGCCCACCTTGTTTTTCTTGATGAATTAATAGTATGATATTGGGGAAGATAAATTACATGTAACCACACACACATTTTTAATGATTGAACAATTTTATATGATACACCATGATCATGATCTGAATTTCATTTTCATCATTTGTTGAGACTTCGACCTGTTCAGGGACTGTTTGTGACAGAAGAGCTAAAACGTGAAGAGTTCATGACAGGTGTTTTATATAGGAAAATAACATTACTGTACATCTACTCTCTCTCTCTCTTTTCAGCAATCTCGCTCTCACTCTCTTTTCAGCCATCTCTCTCTCTCTCTCTCTCCAGCCATCTCACATTCTCTCTTTTTCACTTTTACTTTACCTTGTTTATTTTTTCCCTGGTGTGAGATAGGAGTGCCTGGAAATGATTTAAGGCCCCACAGTTGAGGACCACCTGTGTCTGTTCATCTGTACCTGTCACGATGTTCCCTACCGCTCTCAGGGCCGCCGTCTTCAAAACAACAACAATAAATAATAATAATAAAAGTTATAATAAATGAATAAAAGGCTAGATGTCAGCTTAATACAAAAACCTTTTGAAACTTCAGTACGCTCACTAGGTTAAGCTACAAATAAAGTAAACGGGCTGTGTGTTTGTGATTTTTGTATGTGTGATAGAGAGTGTGTGTGTGTGTGTGTGTGTGTGTGTGTGTGAGGAGGAGGTCGGGAGTGTTTTAGCTTCTTCATAACTTAACCTTGTCTTTAAGGTAAATTAAAGGACCAGATAAAAATTTATCCAGCTAATATTAGGTTTTGGAATTTTTTGGTAAAGGACAAAGTCACTAATGTATCAAAGATCTGGAACAGAAACTGATAAAATATTACCCTTTGCCCAACCTATAAATTCATCATCTCCTTGAAGGGATAATAACTCTTCATATGAGATCTATATTTCACAATCAAAACATTGTGAACAACTCACAGAAATATAATATATTCTGTTGTACCACAAAAACTGCAGTTATAGCTATTATTCTGATATCTGAGCTTGTCTTTAGACCACGTGACCTCCATTGATGGCTATACTCTGTTATAATCTCTTAAGAGATTATAACAAAAAATAACTTTTTAGAAAAAAAAAACAGGGACTAACTTTGAATGTAAAAATGGATTCATTAACCATTGGTAGGTATAAGAAAATTGTTGTTTACTCCAGGAAAATTCATTTTTTGGCCAAAACGAAGAGTTATTATCCCTTCACCCTTGAAAAAGGAAGGGATAACAAACGACATTAAGTCCATTAACAAGACCACCATTTCTACCTGTACTTTCACCTCCTGATGACTTAACAAAGGAACAAGGTAAGGCACAACCCCAGAGTCTATCACCATTTGGATCTGTTCATTACCANATTTTTGAAAAATAGATAGGCATATACTGTTGTTGAAAATTATGTTGACTTGAGCACACAAATATCACTTTAATCCATTTAATCACTTAAATTAGTCATCATTTAATATCACTTAATTCAAAGTTTGAATGAATTGTATTAAGCTACTCTGAATTGCAGGTAAACAATATTCATAAAATATGACAATAAGATTTTCAGAATGAGTCAATCACATTAGAAACTGAAACAAAAAGCTAACAAATCTACAAAATTAGCAATAGAAGAACCAATGCTACTTTGGGACTAATAAAAACAAGAACACCGATTCAGAAGCAAAAAAAAAAAATTCCTTTAAGTTGGTAACGCACCTCCGCACCCCTCTATCTCGTTACAAATCCTCTCCGTGTCATCTCCTGCCATCTTGAGGATGTTGTTAATGCCGTCAAGGACCACCTGGATCACCTGTAGCTCCTTCACCGTCATCAGGTTACAAAATGGCGGTATTACACCTTGCTGCACCACGTACGCCACCTGATCCTTACGCCCGCTTATTGTAAGGTTGCTGATTGCCCACGCAGCCTCTTTCTGGGTTTGAAACTCACCCTTGAAATGTGAATGGTGTATTTGTTATTTTGGTACTTTTTTTTTATTCTCACAAACTAGTTTGACACAATAACCATATCATCAAAGTTTACACCTGTGAATGTCAGCTAATACAATCAATGCAGAAAATGTCAAATTCTTACTTCAAAAGATGTATTAGTAAAGGTACAAAATACAGCACCGAAATATCTAGAAATCTGGGTAAAGGGAGAAGACTTGTTTCTCTTCTCTGAGAAGTGTACCTACCCTGTTAAGATGATGTATTATCATAGGTATAAGCTTGGCATCAATGACGGCTTGCACCTGCTGCTGGTTACCTGCTGTGATGTTAGACAAGAACCACACTGCTTCCTGGGAGAGTTGGGGGGAGAAAATAGACAACATTATGCTGAATAACTGTTTAACGAATCAAGAATTTCATATGGAAATTATGCTGAAAAACTCATTTACCACATGTGCATTTAAACACAATGTGTTTTGTTATACTAGGGGAAATATAAGCTGTCGGACTGAATCTAACTGAGAAGCAGACATATCAAAATGTTCCTATATATTTTCAAAGATAAACATCTATTGAAAATGATGAAAAGCATTTCTTCAAGAATCGAGTTTATGCTTCGACAAGGATATCATGCTCCAACCTCTTTCTTCTCCAGAGCTCGCTATATCAAATTTGTCAAATTTCTAAATTGTGAAAAAAAAAGAAGTCTCGACCATCAGAACCGTACATGTTAAGATTGTCTTAAACAGACACCCTCTACATGTAAAGAAATTCAAATCAAGACCACCAAGGACAGCTCCAAAATAATCAACCGATCAAAATCACTCACAACCTGACAGGGAGAAATAAGGCCGAGAGACAAAAGGGAAGAGATAAAGTAGGAAGAGACAGCATGTTTGAATGAAAATAATGGGCTGGTTTTGTTTCATAATCATCGACCTCAATCACTGGGGTCTCAGATGCACTCCGTGTTCTTCACATCTGCTGTGAAAATCGGGCCCACCTTGTTTTTCTTGATGAATTAATGGTAAGATATTAGGGAAGATAAATTACATGTAACCACACACACATTTTTAATGATTGAACAATTTTATATGATACACCATGATCATGATCTGAATTTCATTTTCATCATTTGTTGAGACTTTGACCTCTTCAGGGACTGTTTGTGACAAAAGAGCTAAAACGTGAAGAGTTCATGACAGGTGTTTTATATAGGAAAATAACATTACTGTACATCCTCTCTCTCTCTCTTTTCAGCAATCTCGCTCTCACTCTCTTTTCAGCCATCTCTCTCTCTCTCTCTCTCTCTCTCTCTCTCTCTCTCTCTCTCCAGCCATCTCACATTCTCTCTTTTTCACTTTTACTTTACCTTGTTTATTTTTTCCCTGGTGTGAGATAGGAGTGCCTGGAAATGATTTAAGGCCCCACAGTTGAGGACCACCTGTGTCTGTTCATCTGTACCTGTCACGATGTTCCCTACCGCTCTCAGGGCCGCCGTCTTCAAAACAACAACAATAAATAATAATAATAAAAGTTATAACAAATGAATAAAAGGCTAGATGTCAGCTTAATACAAAAACCTTTTGAAACTTCAGTACGCTCACTAGGTTAAGCTACAAATAAAGTAAACGGGCTGTGTGTTTGTGATTTTTGTATGTGTGATAGAGAGAGAGAGAGAGAGAGTGTGTGTGTGTGTGTGTGTGTGTGTGTGTGTGTGAGGAGGAGGTCGGGAGTGTTTTAGCTTTAACCTTGTCTTTAAGGTAAATTAAAGGACCAGATTAAAATTTATCCAGCTAATATTAGGTTTTGGAATTTTTTGTTAAAAGACAAAGTCACTACTGTATCAAAGATCTGGAACAGAAACTGATAAAATATTACCCTTTGCCCAACCTATAAATTCATCATCTCCTTGAAGGGATAATAACTCTTTGTATGAGATCTATATTTCACAATCAAAACATTGTGAACAGCTCATAGAAATATAATATATTCTGTTGTACCACAAAAACTGCAGTTATAGCTATTATTCTGATATCTGAACTTGTCTTTAGACCACATGACCTCCATTGATGGCTATACTCTGTTATAATCTCTTAAGAGATTATAACAAAAAATAACTTTTTAGAAAAAAAAAACAGGGACTAACTTTGAATGTAAAAATGGATTCATTAAGAAGGTATAAGAAAATTGTTGTTTACTCCAGGAAAATTCATTTTTTTGGCCAAAACGAAGAGTTATTATCCCTTCAACCTTGAAAAAGGAAGGGATAACAAACGACATTAAGTCCATTAACGAGACCACCATTTTTACCTGTACTTTCACCTCCTGATGACTTAACAAAGGAACAAGGTAAGGCACAACCCCAGAGTCTATCACCATTTGAATCTGTTCGTTACCACCATCTGTGAGATATGACAGCGCCCATACTGTGTCCACTAGAATCTGTAGAAAACAAAAATATAAGATTACATCTGTGAGATATGACAGCACCCACACTGTGTCCACTAGAATCTGTAGAAAACAAAAATTTAAGAATACATAAGTTTTCTTCAATGCATAGTCATTAAATACAGTAAAATACACTAAATAACAGTTTAATTGCATTGCCACACCGATAACCGACTTGTCTCATCAAACAGGAATTAAACTCCTTACACTTAACAGAATACAAGTCTGTTTATAAATAAATACAAACAGATGCTGGGGATTATCATAAAACGAAAAAACAGTTAATAAGAAGCTTGTGATCCTTACATTTGTATCTGTATGATGAATAAGGATTAGTAACGCCGGCAAGAGTTCCTTAATTGTGTCAACATGTGGCGCTGGATCTTTGTTACGACACAGGTTGACGATGACCCACGTGACATTGCGTAAAAAGGAGAGAGGGATTGCAGGGTTGATGAAGGCTAAAAGAGGCTTGACCACGCCTAGACCTATGACATAGTCTCTGCAATGAGGACCATCACCTGAAATTGGTGGGAAAATATCATAAAATATAATAAATTTGATGAAATTGAACGTGTACATTTCTCTGACTTAATTTAATCATAGAAGGAAATTATATTGATAAATATATAAGTAAATTTGATGAAACCAAATGTGTTAAACTGTCTCATTTCATCCATTCATTCGAGGAAAGTGGACACTGGTGAAAAATCTCTTTAATCAGACATAAGAGTGGGTTTTTGAAAAAAAATCTTTAAAGCTAAATTGCAGGACCAACGCCTTTTGCCAGTGGGTCCTTTAGAAGTTCAAAATTACAGAAATTCAAAGATTTTGCAGGTAAAACATTCATGTCTGTTCAACAACATCTCGGCACTACAGTAAATTGTTTGAATATGTACAGAAATGAAACAAAATCATTTAAATAGAAATAGTATTATCATATTAATAACAGATAATATTTTTCATTATTATTACTTTTCTACTTATCACACTTACCAATGATATTTCCTAAGGCCCAGACAGCTTGCTCACATACATTTTGATGTTGAGATTCTAAAAGCCTTAAAAATAACGGGACAGCACCTAAAAGATATATAAACATTCTTGATTAACACATGGCCTATTCATGCAAATAAGAAAACAAACAAATAAATGAATAAATAAATGAATAAATAAACAAGAGCAAGCTGTACTGATTTGTTGTGATGTGTTTTACCAGCTAGGCCCTATTGAGGGTTATTTCAGGTAGATAACTGAAACAAACATTGATGTTGACCTACTTTTTTATCATATTTAGACCAAGGTGACCTACTTACCAGCTTCCACCACAGCTTGTGTTTGCTGAGAGGTGCCTGAAGCAATGTTTGTGAGCGCCCAAGCAGCTTCAAACTGTAACGAGGGACTGGAACAGAAACGGTTCATATGCAAAATGAGAAAGTCTTATGCGGCTAGTTTTCAGTTGAAAGGAGTCAAAACAATGAAAAACTGACATTTTTTTTTCTTTGCTGAATATTTCATTTATCTTTTTGCCTAAATAATTTTTTAAGCATTTACAGGCATGAGACCAGTCCTCACTGAAAAAGCAGGATTTACACGATTCACAAGAATGACCCAAATGACCCTGAAAAAGTTGGAATTCCGACAGAAGTCAAAAAAAGTCTCATCAGTGATTTAGTAAAAATATTTATATTACTTTTAGCTTTAAAACTCCCTACCTACCAACTCTGGATTGGCAATCGGTGCCAAAAACTTTTACTGGCCCAAGCCTTAATGTAACTGACATTTTGGTATGGAGTCAATGTTAATGCCACTGTCAGAATAAGCCTAGGATTCAAGAGTGTATCAGGGGCATTCCGTGGTATTCGTTTTGCATTACGGACGGAATTCTGACACTTTAAAAATAAATTCTACAAGAACTATAATACATACATTGTTCAAATTTGGCAGGAATATTGATTAGTACAAGCCTAAACTTGTGACCAAAAAACTTGAAATAACATCTATTAGTTTTTGAGAAATATTGGTTATTGATCACCATTACGGACGGAAAAAAATGGACAAGCATTTTTATTAATCAACTTCAACTTCAAAACTCTGCTCTGTTTGTGGCTTTTTAAAGATAAAACTGCTTTGACATGGCAATTTCATTATTCTAGTTACTAGAAATGTAAAAGGTTATTTAAAATTTTTTTTTTGTTAGGAAATTTTTGAAGTTTAAAAAATCATGTCAGATTACGGACGGAAAATTACGGACGGAAAATTTGTCCACAGTGCAAAACTTACACAAGAAGCCATTAAAAAAGTACAATTTATCATTTATTCATGGTAAAAGTTAACTATTTTCTAAATATGTACATAATAGGAAGTTATTTTTGATGTCAACTCAAATATTTTTGTGAGCTATTTCAAATTACAAAAACCAACTACAGTCTACACTTTCAGAAATAAGAGATCCCTTGTGTTCTCATATTGTCATTGTTTAAAATTCTGTGTTGAATGCTAATTCAGAAAAGCTACATTTTTAAGTCCTTTTTTTTCATGCTAAAGTTTAAACACTGTTTTTATTCTGACACATTAAGACCAACATAGAATTTGTATCTCTGGCATTGGTCCATCACAGGGAATGATACAGGTTTGATAATTTGGTCACTGGAAATCCATGCTCTGTCTTCTTGAGAAGGAAAGGCAAATAGTTTTTTTTACTTGTCCTTTGCTCAGAGAAAAGTTACTTCTATATCACCACCATCTATGAATATAATTTGACCTAAATAAATTTTCTGAGGATATAGGATAATTTCAGGTAAGTGGCATGGTGCCGGAACAAAGGCATGGCCTCTAGTAATCTTTGATTAACTGCGGTCAGTAATTATCTTAACTGCTCATCTCCCAGGTATATGCAACTTGTATATGACAGGTAAGTGATCAAAAGCACATTTTATCTTCAAATTGCAATCAAAGTAACTAAAAATATCCAGGAGAAGCCATGATCATAAGTGATCCTTAATGCGCAATTCAAATGCCACTAATTGACAAGTGAGACAGATGTTGACAAGTCTTGCCAGGTAAGAAAAAGCACTTTTTGACTTTAAATCCTGCATTTTTGAATAATCTTTTTTTT